AAAAAAAAAAAAAAAAAAAAAAAAAAAAAACCTCAAAATATTTCCAGTTATTATCTCAGTTATCTTTATAACATATCTTTTAAAATGATAAGGCTACCATTAGTTCCATTTTTTGTTAGTTAATTATCTGAACTCTAGGACTACCTTACTGATATAAAATTCTGCTTCTCCCAGAATTTAAGTAAAAGCAATGTGCCATTCTTCAAGAAAATCACCTAAATGTTTTCACACATTCTTATATTCATATTTTGCTAGAGCACTCTAGCAATAAATTTTGACTAGTCATATCATTAAAGCCACCCACTCTCCTTTATACAACACATGACAGTTTGCTTCCTAAATGAAATATCGAGATTAAGAAACTTACCAAGTTTCCAGCGGGTACTCCAAAATCAGCCAGGTAGAGAAGGGAAATGAAGAATCCCTGAAAGCAGCCAGCTCTAGATAATGCCTCCCCCATCTTAATATTGAATATTTTGTACTAAAAATTTTGCTGGCAAAAATCATAACCAACACCTCAGTGATGAGAATTAATAAGTATCAACAGAGTCAGAGGGGACAGTCCTGGACGAGTTACCTCTTTGCAGTCTTTTACAATTGGCTGTATCACACTGAGGTCCTGATGACTGCCACTCATAGCACTGCTTGTACTTTTATTTCTTGTATGCCCCTTTTTAAAATGTGTCTTTCCACCTGGCAAAGGCTCTTGTGTAGGTGATGTTGGAGAACTGGACAATACAAGTGTCTTCAATGCAGCCACTTCAGCTTGAAGTACATCAATCTTGAAAAGAAATCAACACAGTCACATACACTGAATATGTTTTATGACAGATGCAGCTAAATGTTAGCAATTTGGTTACTTTCAAAGATGAAATATAAGTTTAATCTGTATTTCCTATGGATTAATAAAAGGAAAGTAAAACCAAATGTTTTTTTTTTTAAAACCAAGTTTTTTGATGTTTCCATACAGTCTGGATTCAGCTGCTATTCACATCAGATGAAATTTTTTAAATTATCAAAATGTCTAACATTTCACTTATGTGAATTTTCAAAATCTTCAAAATATATTAAAAAATAGCTTATGATTAGTTGCTGTTCGTTCCTAAAATAGTAAAATCTAATAACATTTCAGTTGGCTTTTTTTTAGTGAATTAAGAAAATAAATAATAACTTTAAAATGTGATTATGTAATCCTTTTGATAATACATGTGATTCACAAGGCTTTAAATCATTTGCTTCTAATATAAATGGACACCAAACATTCATTATTAATTATATATATGTAGTAGCTATTTTCTTCTTTATAGTTTCCTGTAGTTTTAAAAATCTTCTAAAGTAAGCACTGCTTTTATAATCAGAACAAATCCAATAAATGTTAAGGTATTTTTAAAATAGTAATCACTAATTTCTTTACATCTTATAGTATTAAAAGCAGCAGCAACTTACTTTTCCTTGTGCTTCTTTTAGCTGTTTTTCTGCTGTTGCCTGCTTGACATTTGCTTCTCTCACCATCTTATGAGCTTCCTGAAAAAGTTAACATCCCAAATTTTGGAAACAAAGTATCTAGCATTTGTTTTCAAAAATCTTTCAACATGTGTCTATGATTGAGGCAAAGATACACTAACAAAATTTTGCCTAAAATTAAGTATCCAGCGTAAACTGCTGAAATAGCAGTTGTCATCAGCCAGACCAACTATTAGGAATAAGGAATAGGTACCTTCTTTTAGTATCTATTACCACTGAGGCAGCCAAGTTGAGTTTGATCATTCTGATCAATCCCTGTGTAAGGACTGCAAATGTGATGAAGGAAAACACATAACCCACATGTCAAATCCAACTTCTTTGCAGTTAGGTTTTTATAATTTGGTATACACACACACACACACACACACACACACACACACACAATTCATTCATATAACTACCCACAGCAAAGGCATACAGAAGGGACAAGTAAAAATATTAACACATCAATAATGTTGCAGTTTATAGGAATAACAGTTGAGAAACCTTAGAGCTTCCAATAAAAGTATTCACAAAATGATATTAAATGACAATTTTGTGCAGAGCAATCTAAAAAGGCAAATCAGAGTTAACCCTTTAATAAGATCTTAACTTTTTAGTACCACAAATATGAAACTCTAGGTATTTAATTCCCCTTTATTCATATAACACTTATTCATCAAACACTTAGTCATGACACCTCTTCATGAGGTACTGTTCCAGGTGCTGATAATACACTGGGAAAAGAGACAAGGTCCCTGCTCTTAAGGAGCTTACATTCTGATTACGTTCTAATAATCAAATAAAATATCTGAGTACAAATTCTGGATTTTATTCTAAATCCACTATGAAGCCTTATGGTTTTTTAAGGAAGAGAGTGACATGATCTTACTTGTACTTTAAAAAGCTTACTCTCCTGTACGGAATAATCCCTATAAAGAATAAGAATAGACTGGAACAGTATACAGGTGCTCAAGATAATCCCCCAAGATTTAAGAACATGTATTTTAGAACTTCAGTTTACAGTTCATGAGAAGGAAGAACGTGAGGGAAGGAGGAAGGAAGGAAGGAAATCAGCTTCAAAGACATTTAATCATTTGACAACAGAAACCCTCACTAGGTCTGCTGACTGTTCAGGGGAGAGTAGAAGTTCTCCACACCAGAATTCCACGGTGGCACTCCCATTTGTCCATTTGCTCTTAGAGTACTGTAATGAACTGCAGCTTGTATGTGGCCCATGAATGTGAGTTTACAGATTATATTATTTTAAATAAGAGAAGCTTTACTATCAATGCTTTATAATGAGATTAACTGTGAGAATATGCCATGCACAATTATGCTGGTTATCTTGTGTCAAAGTCTGTAAGAGCTATCAAATTTAATAATGAGGTAAGCATTTTTCTTTTAAAAATAACAAATGTTTCAGCTGTGCTAGATTTTTCTGTGATGTCGCTGTCAATAAAACACTACTTGACAGGTAGTTTCAAAATAATAAACATATCTATCTGACCCACCAAGATAAGTGATATTTAAACTATGAATGCAGAAGTAACTCGTGCTAAGGAGAGAATATTTGTTTAAATGTTTGGAAATGGACTCTGGTTTCATAAATAGCGGACTATGCAACTTGAAACAAACTTCCTACAGAGAACAATTTTTAAAAGTGGGACATTTTTTAAAAATGTGTTTGAAGACATTAGAGAGCTAACAAAAGAGTGAAGAATCAGGGGACCAAGATCCAGGAGAACAGGTAAATCCAGGAAAGTGAGCTGGGATTTGGGGTGACTTGTCCCCTAGAGATATAAGGGATACATTGAAAAGGTATAACATACATGTTATTGGAGTCCAAAAAGGAAAGAGAAAAGAGCTAGAATGAGGCAGGAGCAGTATCTAAAATGATAATTCATAGGTTTTAGCAAATTGACAAAAGACATCAAAGGATATATTCAAAAAAGTTTGAGAACTTTTCTATCACTCTCATTCTGAAACTGAAAAATGATATAAGTATCATCTATATGAGAAGTCAGCGAACTTTCTAGAAAGGCCAGATAGTAAGTAGTTTGAGCCCTGTAAGCCATATGGTCTCCATTGTAACTACTCAACTCTGCTGCTGCAGTGTGAAAGCAGCCATAGACAGTAAAACAATGAGTGTGGCCATTCCAATAAAAATTCACGGGCACTGAAATATGAGCTTCATATAGTTTTCATATGTCACAAAATATTCCTCTTTTGATTTTTTTTTCCCCACCTCTTACCATTTGGAAATGTAAAAACCAATCTTGTCTCATTAGGCTGTACAAAAGTATATATAGGCCAGTTTTGCCCTGCAGGTTGCAGGCTGCAGACCTCTGATCTATACAAATATTCATGTCTGTATACTTACAAACTTTAAAAACAGAATTTTTTTCCTATCTGGTTAGCAGTTATTCAAATGAAGGGGATTTTCTTCCCTTTTTTACAAAAAGTGTTTATTCAACATCTTCTGATTAATTTGCAAAAACAATTTGTTGGTATTAGAGAAGACAAAAATTCACTAGAGAATGTTCTGGAAAAGCCTTCACATAACTGGCAATGGGACTGAAAATTCAGTATAATGACTTATTACAGGAAAAGAAGTACTTGTTCCTTTTGGATCAGTATATCTGTGAGTTAGCAGCAGCATTACATCTAAATTTTAAAAATGGAATTTAGACCAGACCTTCATCTGGATCATAAATTTAGAATAAGATTTCAAAAACAAGGTAACATATTCAATCACACTGCTCTCACTAAATAAATATACACACACACAATATGTTTTAGTGAGAATAAAATACTTTTGTACTATTATAAAAAATTTAAGCATCTTTATCTCACTCTTTTAAAAACTTTTGTTTTATACTGTAACATATTATATGTGTGTTAGTGTATGTGCATAATTTGTAAGTAAGTACATATGCTCTTAGAACAGTGTCTAGTACATAGGAAACTCTCAATAAATAGTAGGTATCTTTATCATAATGAAGGTCCATGCTCAAATTTGTCTCTGTGACTTGAGACAAATGAAGTTCCATTTATGACTTTCATAGCACTTAAAGCAAGATCAAGGTCATGAATCTGAGTCCCAACTTTGCTCCTTACTCTAATTATGCCTCATTTTCTTCACAGGCAAAATAATTTATACAATATGTGCCATATGGCATTGTTGAGAGAAAACTAAGCATATCATAGACATTTATTAAAACTGGCTGAAAAAATATAAAAACATCTTAGGACTACATATCTTTTTTTTCCATGTTAAATGTAGACTACTTTGTAAAGCATTCTTTCAACCAACTTCATTTTATATTTTACATTATCTCAAAATCTAAAATACTAGAAGAAAAAAATATATATATACATACATACACACACATATATAAAATTTTAGAGTCCTGTATTTGATACATTTAAGACTCAAGTTTGCTAAATACAAAGTATAATTATATTCAAGATTATTCATCATTCATAATAAATTCCTAATCTGAGTTTACAAGTTTACCAAAATTGTACAAATTGAGTTTATTCAGAAAAATCTTTAATTCTTAAAAAAACTACAGACACATATACATAAAATGTAGGCAAAAAACATCTTTTCATAAGACAATGGTAAACTGAAATCATGAAGGCACAACTGAGACCACAGAAAAACGTTTTGCCCTTTTTTTCTAAATTCGTATTGGTTTGAATACAACTTTCTTCATTACTGAAATCATCTTTAATCAGTGTAGTTTCTTTCCCAGAAAGTATACACAGTTAAGGCTATTAGCCATTGTTAGGCTGGGGATAAGTTAGGGATCCCAAAACTATGTTTTTTAGATAACTTTTTCATTCACTGCATGAACCGCATTTCTGGTACTTCACATCCTACTATAGAGAGGGAAAAGTTTGTTTGTTCTCCCCCTACTTCATCTAACAAAATGCACATGTAAGTGCAGATGGATGGAAATAAGCAGGGTTAAAATTAAGGGCAGGCAGATAGGAAATCAAAATTAACATAAGTAGCATAATATATTTGTTTGCTTATCTACTATCCATATATTTATAAACATTTCTTCTAACCAGACATTGCTGGAAGAAAAGTCTTGTTTCCGAGTCCTTCTACATATAAAAATGTAACAAGTTACACAGCTCCTGTTCCAGATCTTTAACTTCCCACTACCTCTATGCTTAAATTTATCTTCCTCTCATCTCTGAGATGAGCAAACTAAACAAGAAAATAAGTTAGTTTTTAAACGTCCATGAAAGCAAATGACACCCAAAAAGACAGGGGAGAGGGCAAAGGGTTGTGGAGCAGAGGGGGCACGGAAATCCCACATGTTTGAAAATATCTTCTGCAATATTACTTGTAATGATAGAAACTGTGGAATGTACACTTGATAGATTATGATTATCATTACATTCACTATGTAGTAACATGAAAAGATGTTATTTAAAGTACAAAATATATTAGGATTACAACTAGGTAAGCAAATACATACAGCTAAAACTAAAAAAGATTCTGCATATAAAAAAATAACAAAAGGTAAAGAAATTTTTCCTCCAAAATCTTTTTTTTTTTTTTTTTTGCGGTACGCGGGCCTCTCACTGTTGTGGCCTCTCCCCTCGCGGAGCACAGGCTCCAGACGCGCAGGCCCAGCGGCCATGGCTCACGGGCCCAGCCGCTCCGCGGCATGTGGGATTTTCCCGGACTGGGGCACGAACCTGTGTCCCCTGCATCGGCAGGTGGCAAAATCTTTTTTTACATTAAAATTTTTAAGAACAAATTTTTAGGGAAAAAAAGAAAATATTGGTAAAGTGATAATGACACTAGTCATTCTAGTAACACATCAATGTTTTTAATAAGGAACTTCTGAAGGCTAAAGGTCTTATAACCTAAAGGTAGTGGTTCTTAACCAAGAATAATACCCTCTCCCCATCCTCCACAAGGATATTTAAAAGCTGTCAAAATGATGAGGGAGTATTACTAGAATTTGGGTTAAGTGTGATGTTAACTTTGTGTGTCCAACTTGACTGGGCCACAGGTGTCCACATACTTTAGTCAAACATTCTGGATGTTTCTGTGAAGATGCTTCTGGATGAGACTAACATCTGAATTGGTAAACTGAGTAAAGCAGACTGCCCTCCATAATGTGGGTGAGGCTCATCCAATCAGCTGAAGGCCTGTTAGAACAAAAAGGCTCATCCCCAAAGAGAAAGAGAATTCTTCCTGCCTTCAGACTCAAATTGAAACATTAGCTCTTCTTTGGTCTCAAGTCTGTCAGCCTTTGGACTAGAAACTAGAACTACACAATTAGCTCTCCTGGTTCTCTGGCCTTTGGACTCAAGACTGGAACTACACCATCATCTCTCCTGGGTCTCCAGCCTACCAACTCATCCTCCAGATTTTGGCACTTGCCAACCTCCATAACTGCATGAGTCAATTCCTTACATAAGTCTCTTTCTACATACATGTAAATGTATATATGTATATACACACATCCTATTGGTTCTGTTTCTTGGAAAACCCTAATACACCAAGGATTCTAAATGTCCAACAAAGTCAACGGCCCCCCTACTGAGAAACACTGCTTGAACCGGGTAGGAATTTTAATCCTGTGGCAGGCTGGAAATAAAGATGTGTGCCTTCTAACTTTCCTCAAATCATCCCCTATCAGAAGACTACCTCAAGGGTTTGCCATCTTTGTTACGGAATCATATAAAGATACTCTAAAGCAGCCCCTAAATAGTTGGTAAAATCAAAATTAAAAGTTACCTCCTTTCTTTCCACATACACATTTTTAAACCACCTGATTCTGGTAACCCACAGTGTTTTTTTCTTTTCATATCATTTTAAGTTGCAGACTTTACATTTCTTAAAGATTTTATCTTTTTAGAGGACTTATAAATATGCATGAAGCTAAGCATATCTTTTTCAAGATTCCCTCATAAAACAAATCTATCAATATATAAAAACCATGACGTTGCTCTTGGCCAAGATGTAAACAGACCAACCTCAAATAGACTAGCTGTGAGTTCCTCCAATTCCTGTCCAAGTTGATCTCGTACTTTAGAAAGCCTCTCACACTCTTCATCTTTTAACTTCAGTTCCTATGAGAAATTGATCATTTTATTTTTTATTTCCAAAGTTCGAAGTTAGATTCAGCAGACTATACAATTTTTACTAATAAAATTACAAAATATTAATACTGCCCCCACCTACAACATTCACACTGAAAGTGTTTATTTAGCACTTGCTATGTGTAAACAATCAGGCAAGTCTAAAATTACAAATAATTCTAACTCACATATTAAATTTTCATGTTTTTTCATAAAATATCCAAAGATTAAGTATAATTATTCATTACATGTGAAAATAAACAATTAAATAACTTCATTCTTTTTTCCTTAACTTTTCTCTGAACATATTTATTTCTATCAACCAAGGAATTTCTTCAATTATGCTGATTCATTTCAATAAATGTTCAGTGAAGTTTTTTCATGTTTACTTTAAAAATTGTTTACCTATAATTCCATGTACCATACTGCAATCAGTCTAAAATTTCCATTAGGAGACTATACCCATTTAACACTGCAACCAGAGGCAAACAATGTATATTACATTTAAAATTAAGAAGAATATTAACGACAAAAATCCTACATTTATACGTGACTCCTCAGTAGGTCATAAATAGATGCTAAAAATTCCTTTATTAAGATGTTAAATATGCAATTTTATGTTATCCTAAATTTATCTTTCAAACTTAGAGATTAAAAAAAAATCCAAACTCTCTATATATCAGCCACAAATACAGTTATTCTGTAATTGTGGTGGCAGCATAGTTTTTCAATCCCCTGACAATTCCTGACAACCAAATATTCCAACTGGGATATCAGAAGAACCAAATGACTACATCTTCAACAAAACTAGGTAAAAGAAAATCCCAACATATCTTAGACCATGAGAAAATGTGGCTACACTGCCCAGACCACAGGATCAGTCACTGTGTGGAAGGGAGCACCAGAAAGTGAAAGGGACTACAGAGATACTGTATAAAGCCTCAGAACCCAAAAATCATTACAAATGCCCCCAAAGCAGAGGACTATACCCTTGGTAAAAACTGGAAGAAAAAAATGTGAGAACAAATGGAGAAAAAGGGAAGGGTTTTCACAGGCTCCAAGTTAGAGATGAGTGCAAAAATCATACGCAGTACAGAGGCAGCTAACAGTACAGTGAAGCTCTAAACACTCAGGAATCTCAAAGCATCCAGCAAAGAGACCTTTCCAGAAGGACAGAGCCCCACCATAAGGGGAGAACTCTTGGAATATAAAACCAAATTGCAGGATGGGAATAATGGAGATAGCAAGAGAGAAGGTTCAGATATTAAAGGAGGAAGGAGTGGCAAGGTTCCAAAGGAAACAGATTACTGGAAGTATTATTAGGCAAAAAAAATATCTTAGGATGTAATGCTAAGCACTGAGACACTAGGCTGATGGAGAAAACCTTCTTTCACTTTCATGGGTTTTCTTGTTATTAATTAGTGCCTTTTCTTTTCAGCTTTAAAGAAGTCCTTTTACATTTCTTGTAAGGCTGGTATAATGGTGAACTCCTTTAGCTTTTACTTGTCTGGAAACCTGTTGATCTCTCCTTCAATGGTGAATGATAATCTTGCTGGGTAGAGTATTCTTGGCTGAAAGTTTTTTCCTTTCAGCACTTTGAATGTATCATGCCAGTCCCTTCTGGCCTGCAAAGTTTCTGCTGAAAAATCTGCTGATAAGTCTTTTGGGAGTTCCCTTGTATGTAACAAGCTGGTTTTCACGTGCTGATTTTGATATTCTCTTTAACTTTGGACATTTTGATTATAATATGTCTTGGTGTCTCTTTGAGTTCTTTTCTGGAACTCTCTGTGTTTCCTGGACCTGGATACCTGTTTCCGTCCCCAGGTTGAGGAAGTTTTCAGTCATTATTTCTTCAGAAAGTTCTCTGCCCCCTCCTGTCTCCCTTCTCCTCTGGGACCCCTATAAAGTGAATGTTGTTCCACTTGATAGTGTTCCACAGGCCCCTTAAGCTACCTTCACTTTTTTTCATTCTTTTTTCTTTTTGCTGCTCTATTTGGCTGAGTTCTACTGCCCTGTCTTCCAGATCACTGATGCTTTCTTCTTCTCCATCATCTATCCTCTTGTTGAACCCCTCTAGTGTATTTTTCAGTTCTATTATTAGATTCTTTGGTTCTGTGACCTGTGTTTGGTACTTTCTTATATTTTCTATCTCTCTGTTGAAGTTCCCACTATGTTCATCCATTCTTCTCCCGGGTTTGGTGAGACCATTATTTTGAGCTCTTTATCAGGTAAATTACTTTTCTGTTTCATTAAGGTTATTTTCTGTGGTTTTACCTTGTTCTTTCATTTGGAATATATTTCTGTTTCCTAATTTTGAATCTCTGTGTTTGTTTTCATGTATTATGCAAAATAGCTCCCTTTCCCAGTCTTGGAGGAGTGGTCTCATTTAAAAAATGAACTTGGGCTTCCCTGGTGGCACAGTGGTTGAGAGTCCGCCTGCCGATGCAGGGGACACGGGTTTGTGCCCTGGTCCGGGAGGATCCCACATGCTGCAGAGCGGCTGGGCCCGTGGGCCATGGCCGCTGAGCCTGCGTGTCCAGAGCCTGTGCTCCACAACGGGAGAGGCCACAACAGTGAGAGGCCCGCATACCGCAAAAAAAAAAAAATAATGAACTTTATTGTTCAAGTCCTAGCTCTTGGTTGCCTCTTGAACCTTTGTGACTATCTAGGCAGCCTGATTTATACTTGACAGGTCCCAGTTGTGAGGGTTTGCCAAGACCTGTCAGTGTTCCAAAGGGCGGGACCTTAATCAGCATCTAGTTTCAAGATGATGAGAAGCCAGACCCTTAGGCAGCAGCTTTTAAAGTATGAAAATATATACAGTCCCACAGGACCACAACTGAAAACCTCGCCAGCCTCCAGACCAGGTGATCTTGAGGTGTCCCCTTGGCAACAGTTGCAAAAATCAGGGCTCCAGACAAGTGCTCAAGCTCCTTTCTGGGAGGTACCTGCGAGCTGTAGCAAGGCCAAGGGAGACAGCAAAGATGGCATCCCCTGGCTTACATTCCCTGAGAACATGCCATGCCCTTCAGAACAGGCTGAAGCTCCAGGACAAGTAAATAGGATTTTTCACAGGAAGACTGGGAGTGTGTTTCAGTCAGCTATCTATGCCATACCCTGGGGATGATAGTCTGCCAAGAGCTGTCTCTCCAACTGTTTCAGTCCCGTGGAGCCCCAAAAACACAAGCCCCCCTCTGGCCTCTAGAGCCAGGCATTCAAGGCTCTGTGTGGACTGTGTGCACCCACTGGCTTTAGCAGGGCTGCAGGAGAGCAAGGGGGTGGCGTGTGCCCACTGGCTTTCCTGAGGCTGTGGGAGAGCACAGGGATGGAGAACACAAGCAAGGTAGTGTGAGAGTGCAAAAATGGCACCTGCCAGTGCTTGCAAGGTAGAGAATGCAAAAACAGAGCCTGCCAGCACTTCCATCCCCAGAGAGAGTCCCAATAAGCCCCTCCCGCTCTGGCGGATGCTTTAAGATTAGCAGATGAATCTCCTCACTTATGGTGTAGGCACTTTTCAAACTGCTGCTTTTGTGCTGGGTCCCAGGGTAAGAGAGTCTGCATGTGAGCCTTTAAGAGTGAAATCTCAGTTCCCTACAGCCTTTGGGTCTCCTGGACATAAGCCCCATTGGTTTTCAAAGCCAAACATTTTGGGGGCTCATCTGTCCAGTGCAGGTCCCAAGGTGCCTGATGTGTGGCACAAACCCCTTGCTTCTCAGGGAGAAGCTCTGTGTTTGTGAGATCCCTCCTGACTGTGGGTCAGCTGCACCAGGGGTGGGATTCCTGGTGAGACTGCATGTCTGCCTCTCCTACCTGTCTCTATGTGGCCTTTTTATCCTTTGTGTGGAGAAGCTGTTCAACTAGTTCTTTTTCAGAGGGAATTATTCCATATGTGGCTGTAGATCTGGTGTGTCCATGGGAGGAGGTGGGTTCAGGATCTTCCAACACCATCATCTTGAACCACCTTCTCAAGAAAACCTTGAACAAGGCTTACCTCTGAGAGACAGAAGTGGCTACACAGATACACCACCAACAACAGAAGGGAAAGCCCTGGAACATGAGACTGAGAGAGCTATCCTGGTTTATCCTACTCCTTCACAGGAATCTCTTCCTAATAATCCTGGGAAATCCAATTCATTTAAACATGAAAAACAAACAAACAGAAGATATGTGAAGTTACCATAATAAAAAAGTTAAACATAAAGCCAAGTCAACTACTGATACAAGGGAAAGAAAATCAGATAGGTATCAAATTTCAACAGCATTTTATGCTAGAAAACAATGGAATCACATTTTTAAGATACTCAAGGGAAAAAACTGTGAGTTGAGGATTTTATATCCAGCCAAAGTATCCTTCAAACGTCAGACCAGAGACAGAAAATTATAAAACTGTAAAACTTTAGAAAATATATCCCCCATGAGCCTGACTGAGTTATCAAGCAGCAAATGAGTTTCATGTAACCAAGAAAAAAACTGGAAAAAAAAAAAAAACTGGAGAAGCTTTAACATTAAGAACTGGAGGTGAGAAGCAAATTTATTTAACTGTAGAACTACAACTAGAAGACGAGAATACACAAGAATGAAAAGACAAGCCACAGACTGGGAGAAAATATTTGCAGAAGACATCTAATAAAGGACTGTTAACCAAAATACACAAAGAATTCTTAGTAAGAAAACAATCTGATTAAAAAATGTGCAAAAGATCTGAACAGACACCTCACCAAAGATATACAAATGGCAAATAAGCATATGAAAAGACATTCCATATTACATGTCATCAGGGAAATGCAAACGACAACAACGAGATGCCACCATACACCTATCAGAATGGCCAAAAACCAAAACACTGAGAACAATGTATACTGACAAGGATGGAGAGCAACACGAATTCTCATGCATTGCTGGTGGGAATACAAAATGGTACAGTCACTTTGGAAGACAGCTTGCAATTTTTTACAAAACCAAACATACTCTTACCACACGATCCAGCAATC